TGAGTAATAATTCATTTTTTTTTGTGTTGCCTTAGGTTTTTGTGTAAGGAATGGTTATGAGGAACGCAACTCTGATACCAACTGTAAAGCTCTGAAACTTAAAAATGAATAAAGGCATAAATAAAATGTGGAAGCGAAATAATATAGTTTAGGGTTTACGTTCCTTACACAATAATTTAGAATGCCCAATAAGACTACATGAATGTCCATTCTAAAAGAACAAACAAAAATCAAAGAAAAGAATAAAAGACAAATAACTGAGTATTCTAGGATGACTTTCACTAGCTTTTGAAGGGAGTCCAGGTGATAAACTATTCACAACCCTATTGTTGATCGAGATCTGGATCTCGATCCTCTTGATCTGAAATAGTTAATGAAAGGGTGAGTTACACTAACCCAGTAAGAATATCATAGTACTCATCGATACAGAAATTAAAAGTTTGTAAAAATCATAAGAATAACTAATGTAACTCTTGATTTAAATAAATTTATTTATTATAAGAAAAATCATTTATTGCATATATTTATTCTTGCGAGATTTATAAAATCGACATATAGAGGTAATAACTCAAATAATATTCTAACATCATATTCAAGTGAGCATGAACAACAAGTTTTCCTTTTTATTTACTTACTGTTATCCTTGGGGGCCCATAAGGATGTCCCACTATGCGTGAACCAATATTCAATATTTTCAACTAACCAACCGTTCCCATACCCCGTTTAGTATGAGTGCCAAAAATACCATCCCTCAATATCCCGTTTGGTATGAGGGTGAATCGGGACGTTCCCATACCCCGTCGGGTATTAGCGTCAAAAATATCATCTCTCGATACCTCGTCCGGTATGAGGGTAAATCGGGCCGTCCTCATACCCTATCCGGTATGAGCGCCAAAAATACCATTTCTCGTACCCCATCCGGTACGAGGCAATATTCACGGTAGAGTTCCCTATGTACCTGATCCGTCCACCATCTCACAAGATATCCAGTAAGGCTGTCATTCATAATTCACATGACCAAATAATTTTCGTTTGCATATTAATTTCCGATTTCATAAGTCAATCGTAAATTACGCACGACAAACAATATATATATTAAGGGAGCACAACTGAATCATCTAACTATTCTAGTATATCATCATGTATTTAAAGCTGTAAATTCAACAATTAGTTATACAGGTCAACAAATAAATGACTAACAGGTTTTAGCTCCATTAGTAACCTGTAATTATTCTGAAATTTTTTTAAATTACATAAAATACCATATTATCGATTATTAAGCTTCAATTCCATAACAGAAAATAAGGTGAAAGATTCTTACCCGAATCAGTATCTGAAATATTGAACTTTCTATTGCGCCTACTGGCAGTACCTAGGTTTCCTGAATTTTTATGCGGAGATTAAAACACACTTCACATACTTAAAAATACCCGAAAATCCAAAATCGGTGTTAAAAATTATTTCTGACCAATTTTAGAATTCTGCCACGGTGGCACTGCCATGCTCCGGCGATGGCACCGCCGCCCGCAACCGTGGTTTGCCTCGGCCTGGCCATTTTCGGCCGGTTTTGATCGGTTTTGGCCGGTTTTATACCCATCCTTGCGAGAAAACATGTTAGGGGGACCTCGATTGGCCGAAAAAAGTCAAAAAACAGAAACCTACCAGTAGCGAGATTTTCTGGTGTGAAGGCTCCACCGACTCACCTTTGCGACTGGGCATTTTTCTTCGGTCAACCTGTAGAAAATATAATGGTGAACACAATGGAGGAAAAATCGCACGAAACAGAAAACGGGAATGAACTCATCGAAGATGGTTGCGAGTTTTGCCCGTAGTGGCGCTGCCAGACTTTGCTCACAGTTTCTGGCTTATATGTCGTTCCTTTTGCTCCAATTTGACCATGGGGGTGCTCGGAATCAAAATTCGAGTGGATAGAAGAATTTTTACCTTTTTTGGCGATCAGCGGTGGCTGGCGACTGGTTCTTTTTCTCCAACGGGAGGCTGGCGGCTAGGGTTTGGGTTCGGTGTAATGCAAAATATTTATACTTGTCTCGCGTTAATCTAGGTTGTTTATCACGTTTGATCTCGACCGTCCAATTATCTCAGCCGTACGATTACGTTTAAAGAGAGAACGAATCTAGATCATTCATCGCGTTTAATCACGATTGTCCAATTGCGCTTGAGGAGGGAACGGATCAGGACCGTCCACGTGCGCAGGAACGCTTCCGAGTCGTTTGATCGCGGGCATGCGGATTGCCTGCGTGGCTTGCTGCATGGCACCAAGTCAGCGTGCCTTGCCACGCGGCGCGCTCCGGTTTGTTAGGACTGCTGATTGGGAGGTCCTACGTGGTGCAATTTTTTTAATTACGTTTTGACCATCAGTTTTTAATTTTTTTTTCAAAAATACCATATAAACCCAAATTTTTACATATTTTTCCTAAAATTATTTTTAATTTCATCATCAACTTATTTTTTTCACTAATTTCACATTAAATAAAAATTTATTAATTTTAAAATTATATTTTTATACATTTCTAAAATTTTAAAATTAATTCCGGACCAAGTTCCGAGTCCGGGTATTACAACTCTCTTACATTGTTTTGTGGGGTTGGGATCAAATCGTATACGAAGCCTCGGTCTAAATCAAAGCTAAGCTTCCCTATCACAAGACCCACCTGTTGATTTTCAACTCAAAAAATAAAAAAAAAAAATTAGTTCAGGTTCCTCGGATATGAATCAATGAAATCATATATATACATATCCGTGTATAATGAGAAAATAAGGACCTAAGCAGGAATTGCTGATTGGGAGATGCGAGTCTCGGCCAAATTGAGTTGAGTTTCCTCTCCTATTACTGTTTTCACCATAGTTTATCACTTCACATGATTGAATCTTTCTGTTACTGGAAGAATTGAGCTTCTGCTTCTTTAACTTATAATATATAAAGTGCAAAAATACCTTGTTTGGATTAGAATACCATTTTAATTTAAACTTTTGTCATGTTTTTACTTTATTTCGATTCTCATTTTATGAACTTGGGAATTAATCCAAATTCAAAATTATAATTTATCATAATTATATGCCAACTTTTGATAGTAATCAATTTTCCAAAATACTGAAATCAATTACCATATATTTTGAGAAAATTATGGTAAATATAAATCAATGTAGTTTATTAGCAGCTCATTGGGGTCCCTAACACAGTTTCAGTGCTCAATGATCTCATATGGAGGGAGAAATCCTATGCAGTCTTCTTAATGAAGAAAAGTTAGCAAAAATAAATAGTGAAAAAAATCAAAAATTGAATTTTAAAAGAAGAAGGATAATTAGAACCAAATGAATAAGTGATGGTCTAATAATATTACAAAATAAAAAAAAAAGTATTATATTTCAGAATCATATTGAATTTTTTTTATCCAGGAGAGTGATTAAATATAATGATAAGTAACGGATTCCATAATTATCAATGAAAGCATACATCAGGTTTCAACAGTTATTTAAATCTTTTTATAAAGAAAAATAAAATTATATAATTTATATTTATAATTTTAATAAATTACTATCATCAAAGAAAACGAATAAAAATATTCATTTATCACTCATAACTTGTGATTATGCAACCAAAAAAAAAAAAAAAATTGATAAAATAATTTCAACTCAATTTTTTTATTTATCATATTCTGTGAGAGGATGTATTTAAGAAAGCCACACATTAAATATGAGATATTAGGTGTTGAGTATGAAGCCATAATGTCATGATATAAGTGATTTTAGGTTAGAAGATTAAGAATTTAGAATGCATATACAAAAATTTATTAAAAAAATGAAGAGAGAAGTTTTGTTTTGTAAGAGAGAAAAGGAAAAAGTTATGCAGAACTTTTAACATTGTTTAGGATAAAACTACAGTCATAAATAAATTGTAATAAAAAAAAAAGTTAATTAGAGAAGAGGAGATAAAGAAAAAAATTAAAATTAAAATTATCTAACAAAAATTTTAATTAAAAATTACATTAAAATAAAGCTAGTCATGAATTCCTCGAAATGAAATATCTAGTTTAATAACCATCTAATCCGGTTTTTTTTTTTCAATTTGCTTGAACAAATTTAAAAATCTAAAAATTAACAGAACATTTTTCAATATTATAAAATATATACATACAAAATTTTGACAGTGAACATATATTTCATCCTCTTCTTGAAAAAAAGAAGAAGAAGAATCTAAATGACGGAATTACCCTGACAGAGCTACCTTTGCTTTTGTGACCTTTCCCGCTTTGCCGTTCTGAGGCGCACAACCCCACACGGCCAAACCCGTTGCCATCATCATTTCACAATTCGTTACCTATTAATCAAAATCCAATTAAAAAATATTATTATTATTTTAATAAATATTATAAAAACCAAAACTTAGGGATTTATTGATTAAGGTGGGCGTTACTGAGTAACCCCTCATTTCCCACACACTGAAAAATCGCCACCTTCATTCTTCCCTCTCCCCAAGGAAAAATACACAAGAAACGGAGGGAAAAATAAATAATAAAACAAACAACGGAGGCTTCTCTCTATGGTTGGCCAGCCAACTCTTGGACGCTTAATGTTCATCTCGAAACCCTAGCTTTCTTCTTTTCATTTAAAGATTTTCTATTTCTCCCTGAAGATTTCTTTCTCCTTCTTTGAAGAACCATTTCCTGATTAATTGGAGTCCGCTTCTAATCTGGCCGGCTATTTCGTTTTCTTTCTGTTGGAAATGAGATTCGTTTTCTTTGTTTTCAACAAGTCAATTTCTGTCGAAATCTTCATCCAAACTCGTCTTATCCCTGGCCGTTCGAATTAGGTGTACTGGTTTTTATTCGTTTCAGTACTGATTTTGGTTACATTTCGTTTTACTGGTAATTTTTGATAATGCTTTTTGTTGGATTTTGATATTGTTTCGATTTACTACAATTAAATGAAATGTGAACATTTCTGAACTTTGATTAGAATCTGCTTAGCATTAATATACTTTTCACTTTGTTTTTATTTTCAGTCCCCGAAGTTGACGAGTCTGTTTTGCGATTTGATTTGGAGGAGAGAGACGCAGAGAGAGGAGCGTTGAAGAGAATGGAGATGGTCAAGTGATGATCAACAAAAGAGCTTGTTAGAGAGGAAGAATAATGGATGACAGAGGAGGCTCATTTGTCGCTGTAAGGAGGATTTCTCAAGGTCTCGAGCGAGGCAACACTTGTCATTCAACTTCCCGGTATGATTGCGTTTCCCTGTTCTCATATTCCCCCTCTGTTCGGCCTTCTTTTTCCCTTTCTCTAGAAAGTATCTTTAGGCGTCTCCCCTTTTTTTGTTTTTAAAACTCTCTCTCTCTCTCTCTCTCTCTCTCTCTCTCTCTCTCTCTGTGTTTGGAGCCGTGTATTCTTGTATACCTATCTTCGTGCTTCCAGTTTCCTTTACCATGTGTGCTGATATGCAAATTTGTTTTTGTAAGTGAGCTTGTTGCAAAAACGAATTTCTACTTCGAATTCTTTCGGCTTTTTGCTCAATTAGAGTATCATTTAGGGCGTGAAAGAAGTTTCTCTCTCTTCCCCTGAATTTGAAAGTGGATTCTTCTATACCTAGCTTCGTGCCTTTCCTGATTCTCTGAATTCTGTAAGCGTGCTTGTTGAAAAGAAGAATTTCTACTATGAATTTATTTTTTGGCTTTTGCTTTTATTTTTTTATGGCATTTAGAGCGTGAAATAAGTCTCTCTCTGTGTGCGTATTTTGAGCCGTGGATTCTTGTATCCCTAGCTTTGTTTGTATCCAGAATCCTCTAGGAGCCTATTTAATATGCAAATTGTTTCTGTATTTGAGGTCGTTTGTTGAGAAAATAACTTTCGGATTTGAATTCTTCTGGTTTTATGCTTGATAGAAGTATCAGTATTCTTAATGTAGTTAGGGCGTGAAATCAATAGTTATGGAGTATCAGTCGATTTATAATTTCATTTATACATTCTTCTTCAAAAAAGTGCGTTGAACTAGTTAAGTAGGCAGCAGATAATATAAAGATTCCATGTCATTTCACAAGTCTGCCCATGCAATATAAGTTTGATAAAATTGTAGATTAGTTTGTAAAAGAGTATAACTTCATTATAAACAAGAAAATGCTTAATAAACCTGATAAATATCTATTATTTTATTCGCTTTGTGCATTCTTAAAACAATCATCTCTTTGGTTCTCATTATATTTATGTTCTTAGTTTCCTGCACTGTAAACATTTTTTTACTTATCTGTTCTTCAATTTAAAGCATGGTTCAGTGTGTCCTTTTCATTTTGTCATTAAATGATTTTAGCTCATAACTGAGTTGTCATTTAAGGCTAACATACTGAAATTTTTTCAAAATGCAGTTTAGAACTCTATAAATTTCCTTCCATCATAAGTCTAGTGGAAACAAAATCATGGATTACTTCACTGATATCTTCATTTCTCTAGAAAGTGTCTTTATTATTTTATTAGATTTGTAGAGAATACATTGTACTTCTAGGTGACCAATCATTTGGTACTGCTTTTTAATGTTATCTATGCAGAATGATGTAGAATTTGCCATGTTATGCTGTGTGTATGTTTTTTCCCAATCAAAAAAACATATTTAGATCTTTTCTTGAGTCAGTTACATGGTAGAATCTCATCCTTAAGATTTTAGTCGTGAAATTATGTTTAAAAAAATTATGTTTAAAACCCTTTACCCCTTGAATTGGGAAATAAAATTAGACGAGATGTGAGATACATTAGGTAGTTATATCTCATCTGGATGTGAATTAGCTAATCATTATAATTTTCTTTGGAGAGATATAAACCCTGTTTTCCTTAGCAGATGCTTTCATTTTGTTACAGCAGAGGTTGTGGCAGGATCAGCAGCATGGCTGGGGCGAGGTCTTTCATGTGTTTGTGCGCAGAGAAGAGAGAATGATGCTCGTCCTTCGTTTGATTTAACTCCTTCCCAGGTACCCTTGTTATGATTGAACTAACCTGCTTTTGTTTAGCCTTCTGGGTGGTGACATAAGTTTAATTTGTATATTTATTTGATGTTTTAGTTTAAAAGATAGGTTTTGTTGTTTTACATTTCTTCATATTTGCCTGGAAAAAGGTGGCTTGTCTCTATATCCTTAATGGCATAGATCTGAAGTGCCTGTAAGTTCAACCAACAAAAACGGTTGATAGTTGAACTTAAAGGTCAATTTTAGAGTTGGAAGTGCCATTGCATTACTAATGCTATTACAATAGTGTAATTTGTCTTTTATCTGTATATTGTTAGTATATATTCTAATTCCATCACTAAAACACTTTTTCCCTTTGAGACTAATGGTACTGACATTAAATGGTATCTGATATGGCACCCTCTCATTGGCAAGTTCTTCTAGGATTTTTGCAATATCCAAGTCAAAGTTGTGGTTCTTGGCTTCTTGAGGCACTTGATGCTAGTTTTAAGTCCTAGATCTTTTTTCTGGGAAATAAAATAAATTGTTCTATATATGCTTATAAAATATTTTCTTAATTTGTAATAATATTTTGTATATGGATATGAATTGGGCTAAACTGCGTGTTATTTGTCATGCGTCAATGTGCACACAATTTATTTTCTTAATTTATAATAATTTTTTGTATATGCATATAAATTGGGCTAAACTATTTGCATATAAAATAATTAATACGCGTATAAAATAATTAATATGCATATAAAATATTTTTTTGTATATGCATATGAATTGGGCTAAACTTCGTGTTATATTAATTGATTTCTTCTGGAGGACCTCATCAATTGTTACGTACTCTTTCTTTTTTTTTTTTTGTTAAAATTAGGGCCATTGGACTTGGTCTCTTTTTTTTTTTGTCTTTTTTTCCCTTAAACTTTGTTTCTATCAAAATGTTAAAACTGGACGTAAAGCCATATCTGGTAAATTCAGATGACTCTTGCATCCAGTCTTTTCTCATGGCACCTAGGTAGTTGTAATTAATTCAAAAAAGTATGGTGATATGTACTTTCACCTTGGTTCTATCAGGAGGAATGCTTGCAGAGGCTGCAGAACCGTATAGATGTAGCATACGACAGTTCAATTCCTGAACACCAGGTACCTTTTTCTTAGAGGTTCATTAAGTTTTTCCAATCTGACACAAAAAGCTTATGTTAGACCAATTAATTATATGGAGAAAAGGTGCACACTTCCTAAATCACTGTCAAGACACTTTTCTCTGATTTACATACATAGTATATTTCTTTTAAGGATTTCATGCCTGCTATTGATGCTTTACTATAGGATGCTTTAAAGGCTTTATGGAGTCTTGCCTTTCCTGAAGAAGAACTACGTGGTTTAATATCTGAACAATGGAAGGAAATGGGTTGGCAGGGAAAGGATCCATCAACAGATTTTAGGTATACCATACCAATAATTTTATTACCATTTTCATAGTTATTGGTTGCTGCCATATAAAGAATAATTAACTAAAAGGCATACTTATCTGCTTACTGTTTTAATGCTTTGGTTTGTTTGACAGGGGTGGTGGTTTTATATCATTGGAGAACTTGTTGTTCTTCGCTAGAAATTTTCCGGTATTTCCCATTTCTGGCTTTGTACATTTCAGTAATCAACATGCCTTCTCTCTTCAGTTTCAGTCTTTACTTTTGCTATAAGACTTAGAAATAATTTGTTCGCAATAAATTCTGAATTTGTGTTGGTTGGAGTCAAATTCAACAGTCAACATGTCTTCCTTTTTCCGCTTGAGTCTTTACTTTATTATAGACTGGAAAATATTTGTTAGTAGTAAACTCTAGATTTGTATTGATTGGAGTGAAAATACACAATTTAAGGTCTAAAGCTAGTGTCTTTATGCATTTAGCGCCTTATTCATAATGCAAGGTGGAGGATGAAGGTTTTTGATCTTTATGAAGCTTCCCCTACATAGATCTTTCAATTATTGTGAATTTTGTTTGAAGTCAAGTGAATAGTACAATTAATTAGGTTTCTTTTTTTTGTTACTTTTATAAAAAAAATGTTTTTTTATATTATGTGCTGGTGCTTTTGGTTAAGTTGAAGTAAATGGTATAATTATGGTCATTGTAATTAATATAAGTAACATTTCTAATTTCGCACTGGCTCTTTTGGTGTTGGTACATTGAACTGTATGAAGGAAGCTGTAATACCAAGTTTCTTTTCTTCTCTGAAAATTTATCTTAGTCTAGAATCTTTGATAGTTTAAAGATTTGCACTTGCATTTTGTACTTGTATCATTCTAAATCTTGGAACTTGCCTTTCCCATTCAATGCAGAAATCCTTCCAGGATCTTCTTCGAAAGCAGGAAGGTGATCGGTCAGTCTGGGAATACCCTTTTGCTGTAGCTGGTGTTAATATTACATTCATGCTCATTCAGATGCTTGATCTTGAAGCAGGTTTTCATCCCCTTCTCTTCTTACAAAGACATGACTTTAAGAAAATCTTTTTTTTTTTTTTGAAATAGACTTTAAGAAAATCTTTTCTGTCCTAAATCAGAAGAAAATGTAATAACTCTGTTTTTATTTAGCTAGCATGCCAGTGGAACTCCAACTTTGCTAAATTATAATTAGCAATGTTCTTATCTTATTTGTAAAAGAATTTGTACCAGTGGATTTGGTGTCTTTTAGAAAATGGGTTGCTGTAAAATTCAGTTATTCCTGTCCCTTGTACTTACGTGCCATTTGTTTAATTTCACCATATCTCATTTGGTTTTAGAGCATTTTTAGATACCAGTATGTGATGGGGAGGCAGTTTGATGTTATTCGTTTTTCTTGATACTGGTCTTTGATTTTACAGTGAAACCAAGAACAATGGTGGGGGCAACTTTTCTCAAGTTCCTTGCAGGTAAATGAGGCACTTGGGTTATTTATTGTTTGGAGTTGTTGGCAGTGAAGATTAATTCAAATTATCATATGGAAATAAGTTCTGGCAGTTTGAATAGTTTGCAGAATCGCTCTAAGAAGTTTTAAAATTATTCAAACTTTTGTCTTCTTACATGTAGTTTTATATGTCACAGTCAACAATTTTCTTTTTTTACTCACTATTTTTATGTTTTGCTTGGCAGAAAATGAATCAGCATTTGACCTTCTTTACTGTATCACATTCAAGCTAATGGATCATCAATGGCTTGCTATGCGTGCATCATATATGGACTTCAATGTATGTATTCTTTAGCCAAAAAGTTTTTGAGAACTAGGCAAAAGGTTATGGACAGATTTGAACAAGTACTCTTTTTTTTTTCTTTTTTTCTTCTCTTTTTGGTGAGTAGAATACCTTTGGTGGTCAATTGCAAAATTTGGACACCATTGAGAGAGAATTGTGTTGCCCTACATTTTGTGCATGTTTTAGAATTTTGTTTTGGATGAGGGAGGTGTAAATTTTTTAAAGCATAAACACTGTGATTCTATTGCAATTTTAAGCATAAAAGTATGCAAGTATGTGAAGCTTGTGTTCTGGATGGACAATTACGTGCATTTGAAGCACTAGGAGGCTGTATGATGAAGGTAAATCTCATGTAAAATAAACTTTTGGTTGGGCGAAAAGCTTCAGAATTTAGACATTTGCAGCATGAAAAAGTGAAATACATGCTGGCCATAAAATTTATTTGTTTTGCCTCCTTGTTTTCATCTAGCTGCTGTTTGTGGTACTATTCTGTTATGTAACATTATCTTCTTTACAGACAGTAATGAAATCTACACGTCGTCAACTGGAGAGGGAACTTATGCTTGAAGACCTAACGCAATTGGAAGACGTGCCTTCGTACAGTCTTCTTAGCCAGTAGTACATAGATAAAGGGCCAGTAGCAGGAAGAGATGCAATGTCATCATCTTTCATTTCCTTGGTTTACTGTCTTCCTACCTCCATGTTCCTCCATGTTCCTTTTTTAACAAGATGTCTACACGCACGTTCCCGTTTAAATTTTTGAAAACGGATTTTGGTTTCTCAAGCGTTCCTCTGAAATATTAAAGGAAATGGTTCCCACTTTGTAAGTTTGACACCAGCGATCGATATAACGTCTTACATAAGTGCATAATGTGACAGGACGTTTTGGCCAACACAACTGTTTTCTCTTTTCTGGATTTTTGCGTACACAGGCACACAAGGTTTACCATGAGCGATGGATGGTGCTCTTTCTGCCTGAAAACCAACACGTGTGGTTACGGGATTTGCACCGTAACGAGTTGGCTGCCCCAACTCATGTGGAAGGCATTATATATTAAATTTTCAATGATAAAAGCATATATATATATATATATGTAAATTTTTTATCCTGATTTTAAACTGACGAAGATTTATATGGAGAAACATAAAATTTTTTGTATATAAAAATGTCCTAAAAAAAAATAACTTAAAAGAATAAAAAAATGTTCATTATAATTGTTTCAAGTGCTCAGCAGATATATATTGACGTGCTATTTCTCTTCACTATAGTTGCTAGACTCATAAATGAGAAAATTTTATTGGTTAGAAGCCAATTTTGAACCCCAAGTTAGGGAAAATGTTTTTATTCCATGTTTATATGTAGTTTTAAGCATTCATATTGTAATATCTGTTTACTAACATTAAAACTACAATGTTTCTTAGGTTATAAAAGTGACTAACAAAGAAAAAAAATTAAGTACTAAAAATTTAGCCTTTTTCCGTTTTTATCATTGTATCTAAATAAATTAATTAATCACTCAGTTTGATATCCCTTTCAAGTTAAAAAATATTTGTGACAGATATAAGCATTTTTATTATTTTTAATAAAATACGTACTTATTTTTGGTGATAAATGCTTGATCCAAATGTAATTTAATTAATTTTTAAGTATGAATTTACCTTTTTAAAGTAATTTGAAGTACCATTATAGTTTAAACACAGGCTTTTAGTAATGTTAAAATATCCTCTAAGTAGCAGAGAACTTATACACAAAATAAACCTTTGACCTAAAGTCATATATATATATATTAGAGGATCAGTCCAACATCTGCATTGATCATGGTTAAAAAGACAACAGTAAAAAGATAATGCGAACATGAACAAAAAAGTATCAGTATAAAGATATTAATATGAACTCTTAAAGAATTTCATAAATTATGGATGTTTATACCTCTTCTTGCTTCATTCCTCTTCTCTTTCTCTAACTTCCTAATTAATTTTAACTTATTTCTAATTTAATTTATAGCTTTGTCTACCCCTATAAATAAATACTGTAATAAACTTTGTGAAATAATAAACTTAAAAGGACTTGTTGTCTAATCTCTTATACTCTTCTCTTATTTCTTTTGAATTTTTCTATTATAATATTGTTATATCTTCTTTAACTTTATAATATGTTATTAGCACAAAGCCGCACTACAACTTTCCTATCCTAGACTGTTTTAGGTTTTTTACTCAAATATAGTCTATATATGTAACACCCCAAATTTAATTTATGAATTTATATTTTTTAGAGAGTCAAATAATTAATTAATATATAACTTAAACCCTAAGAAAAATAAATAAAATCAAAATTTTTCCTAAAAATAAAAATTATTGGATTTAGGGATTGAATTGATTAAATTTAAATCAATTTGGAGCTCTTTATAATTTAAAAAATTGATTTAGGGGTTAAATGAAAAGGGAGTGCAATTTTGGGGCCCATGCGTGATTTCTAGCAAGTGACGTGGCCGTGAACCAATTGCGGGGAGCCGCATGTTGCCTGACCGCACGCATGGTCAGCCACGCGAGCACCTGCAGTATGCAAATCAAACGACCCTATGCACTTTGAATGATCCAATGGTGAAATTGCGGTAAACAGATCTAACAACGTGCAAAGATGTAGAGGAAATGATTGCGATCTAACAGCCCACGTGCAAGATGTCAGTTGAATGACCTGCATGCATTCTAAGACAATTCTACGGTTACATGCATGGACGGTTATGATCTAAAGAGAATTGCAATCTAACGACTAAGAATAACACGAGATAAAAATTACAATTTTTCCATTAATGAGGTTGCATCCAATGGACCGCATGCGACCATGCGTAACAAGATCGTGTAGTCTGAATTGGTTGAGGGTTAGGTTTAAAAGTCTAGCCATACCCAGTTCGACCTAGGGCCTGTTGGGGAAGGAAAGAAAAAAAAGTGACCAAGAGCCGCCACTTGCGACGAGGAAGAGAGAGAGGTGCGACTGGGAAGAGAAAGAAGAAGGCGTGGCTTGCTCCACGGAGAAAGGGGTTATGCGCACGATGACCGAACTGAGAGGATTGACGTGCGCTAGAAGAGAGGAAACTGCCATAGGAAGGAGAAAGAAAAGGAGAGAAGCATGCAGGGAGAGAGAGAGAGAGATTTATGGAAGAAGAGCAGAAGGAGAAGGAGGAGGATGAGGAGGAGGAGGAGGAGGAAGAGGAGGAGGAGAAAAAGAATAAGAAGAAGAAGAAGAAAATAAAATACATTCCCAAATGAATGAAACTTAAAACCAACTTAAAATAATCAAACAATTATACAACAAACAACATATTAAATAAAACAAATTTAAAACAAGAAATTACAATTTATCAAACATAATATTGATGAGTCGATGTGGAAATCCATTTAAAAGGGATGAGGAGATAAAATGTTACAATAGAGTACGAACTGGATCAAAGGTATAGAGAAAAAAATTATAAAGTCCAGGAAAATGTAAGAAATATAAAATGTAAATAAATATATAAAATAAATCAACACAACTATACCAACAAACGAAAGCACAAAGAACTTATTAAAACAAAACGTTTAATATACGTTAAAATAGTATGAATGAAATTCAGCGGTGGGTGAATCCTACTTGGGGGTGGATGAAATTCTTTTCAGCTGTGGTTAGGATGTGTGTTAGATTTTGAGTCACTTGACGATGGACTATTGTGACCAATTATTGCATGATTTGTGTATGTGCCTGCCCAGCAAGGTAGTGCGGAACCAGATCCCAAAATGATACTTGTTTTGTTAATCACTATGTATATGATTAGCAATCGAAAATTGAAAATTAAAAAGAATAGAAGGAAAACCAAAATTACATCAATATAAAAAAAGTGTTAGAAAAACTTAAACTTAGGATCATAGATTATGATTAAAAAATTACTTGTTTGGGGAAAATAGAGAATTGGGGATAATTGTTGAGGGGTTATGGATGTCTCGATTTGGTCAAAAATTTATGAAAAATTCTGGTTTATGTGGTATGGAGGGTTAAATTATACATAGGGAAAATTTGAGAGAAGCATTAGGCTTAAGAGGAATTCGAGGGATAAAATAAAATTGGAGGGACTTTTAGGGATAAATTGAGAGGGATATTTTGAGGGATAAATTGATAAGGAATTTCGAGGGGCATTTTAGGAGATTTTTGAGGGATAAATTGGAGAAATTGAATCTATATGCATTTCATAGTTTTTAAATAAAAAAGAGAAAGAAAGTTTTATATTTTTGATTGATTGTTTGAGATATGCAGGCGCAATACATAGCTAGTAGGTGTCCTTATTGAGTGCATTATTTTGCTCATTCTATTCAATTTCTCATCTTTTTCATATAAGAGAAAATGGATATTAGTACTCGAATCAAAATGTTTGTATTTTGCTTTGTTTGGGTAAGTTGTATTTAGTTTTAACTTTACAAAATTTTATAACCTCATGATGTAAATTAATGTTACATGTTATACAAGGGATGAATAGCTTCTGTTATATTTTATTTTAAATTTTTGTGTTATATTATCTAATTTAGTTGTTTTAAAGTGGGGTTTCTCGGTTATAGAACTACGGGCCGTTAGAGGTGGTATCAAAGCAACACGACCCTAGGACCACCTCTTGTACATGAGGTATCAAAGTGTTGTGGATTCATAGGACTAGGTTTTCAAAAGAAATTTCTAAATGTGGGAGAGAAAATTTCTCAATTGAAGAAAATCCCCCATGTGGGAAATCCCCCATGTTGGTGGGAAATCCCCCATGGTGGAAATTCCCCATAATGGTAGAAATCTCTCTACTGGGAGAAATCCCCCTTGTGGGAGAAATTGCCTAGTGAGAGAAATTCCTCCAAGTGGAAAATGTTTCCCATGTAGGAGAAATCCCTCATGTGGGAGGAAATTCCCCAAGCAGGAGAAATTTTCCCCAAGTGGAGAAAATTCCCCAATTAGAAAGTTGTGATCTCTCAAGTGGGAGAGTTTCCCAACAAGGAGAATTTCCCAAGACAAGAGAAATTCCTCAAGTAGATACACTCTAAAAACAACCAGCCCTATTCCCATAGAAACCAAATGGCCATCCTAATTTTTCTGAAAATTCTCTTTGCATTCTCTAGGGAAATCCAGTACCCTAGGTATCCCAAACTTTTGTTTCAGTTCCAAGACTATTCTAGTAAATAAAATCAAACAACACCTAACTAGAATCCTCCTTTCTAGAAGTTCTAGTGCTCTTAAATAAATTTCGTAGGTGAAGAGTAATGATTGTAGGAGTTGTCCCTGAAACAATAAAAGGAAAATTGAAGGTGTGATTGCAATTTAACCCAAAATGTTTCCACCAAGTGGAAATGTTATAACATCATCACTTGATTGGAACCTAAGTTCCTAAACAACCTTTACATATAAAATTAAATTCTGAAGAGAGAGAAAATAAAATCCTAAAGATGTGTTCTGATACCAAAACCATTACCATGAGGAGTTTTAAAAAATAAGTTTCCTTACACTAAGGAAATAAAAAAGTAGTCGGGTAAAAAAAACAAACCCTTATTAATGAGAATTAAAAAGAAAGATTATCACAATAAAGCGATTCTATTAAAGAAAATGTCATAATCACTCCAATCTATTGACGATATGCCAATAGAGTGCATGGATTATAACATCCCAAATACTTAAAAAGTAAAAGGGAGCAAACTATCAAGTAGTTACGAGTGTTAATAATAAATTTTTCATTTAAGCAGAAGATATAAATCCCTTACAAAGTGCTCTAGGTTGAATATTTACATCAAGCCATAAATTGGCAAACGTAAATATCAAAATACAAATTAACTATATTAGAGTGCGGATTAAACTATTGCACTCAAATTATATTCTAGATATTCACTAAGGATC